GGTTTTGCATTTTTGGCGTTTTGGCTGGTTTAGCTAAATTCCGCTTCGAACCCGGCTTAAATCACTGCCATCCAAACACCTCTAAGTGTTGCGGAATTTTAAATTATCAATTTTTGCCTGTTGGGAAAGGCTAACCCGAATCCTGACTTAACCTGCTCAAATCCTGCATCCAAAGCCTTAAAAAACTATAGCAGCGGAGGCAAAACACTGAGACAAGGGATCGCCACCAGTGGAAGCATCGCGTGGTGCAGGTCGAAGCCTGAGGTGCGCAAGAAGGTGCGAGGGTCCCGTGCGGCAGGAGGCAAGCCAGGTCGGCAGCGAAACTTTCCCGGGAAGAGGGCTCGGTTTGCCTCATGATTCCTCTATCCTGTTTTAATTTCAAGCATTATAACGAACAGATATTTCCTTAGCCTCCTTATATGAGGCATTATGCATTGTAATATGGTAGTTTTTTGATGAAATGAAAATTTATTCCTCTTTGTTCTCTTTGTGAGTGTATTCCCCTAGATCTCTTAGTGAGTTCAACGGGAAAACTAGATCTCTCCGTGAGTTCTAGATTTCGTCCCAAGATTATTGCGTGGAGATCGAGTGTTGAAGAAAGCGAAGCAAGTGGAATCCAAACAACGGAAATCTGCAGAAATTTTCATCCTTCCCTCCCCTCTCCCTATGGCGCCCGCATGCCGCCGGCCCTTCCTGTTGAATTCCCTGGTTATTTTGAAATTCCATCATGAATAACTTGCCTAATTAAGACTCTTAAATTTAGGAGCTAATTAAGGGAGTTATTATTGCTAAAATTCAAAATTCCCTCTCAATTGGCACTAAATTGGGAGTTACATGATTTGATTAAAATTTGAAACTTAAATTCAGATTTTAGTTAATGATTGTGGTCCCCTCCCATTAACAAAATCTGCCATCTCTCTGAGAACTAGTGAGGATTCTTGATCCACCTTGTAAATGTTGGATTGAACTAGGTTGCTCTACCTTCCTCTTCTTGATGAGACCATACATGGATAATTTAACAGTCTGTTTAGGATTAAGGATGCCAAGATTTGCTAGGGAGCTAGATTTCTTGATTCGCTTGAAGAACTTTGGTTGAATTTTGCTCTTGTTATGAGATTAATTGGGATGATTTTGATCTTCACATTGGAGATAATTAATCAAATTTGGAATTTATAAATGTTGGATTGAACTAGGTTGCTCTACCTTCCTCTTCTTGATGAGACCATACATGGATAATTTAACAGTCTGTTTAGGATTAAGGATGCCAAGATTTGCTAGGGAGCTAGATTTCTTGATTCGCTTGAAGAACTTTGGTTGAATTTTGCTCTTGTTATGAGATTAATTGGGATGATTTAGATCTTCACATTGGAGATAATTAATCAAATTTGGAATTGAGTGAAATTGATTGAACTAAATGCCTATTTATAGATTTACTTACGGGCTATTTAGGAAATCCTATAAGCGATCAATGCGTATTCATAAATCATATATGTGATCACATCTAATTCGTTCATGAAATTTGAACATGGTATAAAAAGTCAAATTGTCTCTCAGACTCATTCTATCCCCAAATAGGAGTTCATCTTTAGTGAAGCTTGGGCGATGTAGGAGCCTTTTGAGGCATATTCGGAGACGGGATAAATGATAATTGTGCATTTAAAAAATTGGACGGGTGAGTAGAAGCACAATGTTGATAGTGCAAAGATTTTTCTTCCTCAAATTTGGTAGGGAAAATTTTAAGATGTGTTGTCTCATTATTCAAATTCAATGAAAGCAATCTCATTACCCCTGAAGAAAATATGGAAAATTTTCTTGTCTTAGAGGAGGCATATTAAATCAAATGGTGTATGAAAGGTGGAGCATGATTCTTGTAGTAAATTAGGGAAGTTTATGATAGTTTTTTCTTGTTAAAAGTGACACAAATCATGTTGATGGTAAGCATGTCCATTAATGTTATTATTGGGGGCCTGTGATGTGTTGCTCACCAATGTCTAACCCTTTGGGGATCAGCTTGTCAGTACATGGGGGTAATGATGATAACAACATTATACTTCTCCACTACCCCCATGTATAGGTTTAGTGTCTAAATGAAGAAATTGCATTGCTGCACCGTATAGTTCAGTGGAAAACCATCACGTTTTATATTCTTTTTCGAGAATTGACATTGTAGAATTTAGATTGGTGATTGACTATAGCCTTGTCACCATATGGAATGCCCTATGTGAGCACTTAATAATGAGCTCCTCTATGGAATTTTAAGTGGATGAGGACCTTGCCACTATATTAAATATTCTATTTGTGCGTACTTAATGTCAAGTTCCTAAGGATTTTGAGTAGGTGAGGTGATGGCGCCACCTTAGGGTTATCTTTATGGTAGGGATTTCTTGAGGGATTTTGATTGATATGGACCATGTTATTTCATGTAGTATTCTTATGAGTTTCCACTCAATGGGGAGCTCTTTTCTTGATTTTTTTAGTTAATAAACACTTGATTATTGTAACTTGTGCTTTCTTGTGGTTTATTGTTAAACCCTCTTGGGGATTTTTGTTTGATGAAGACTCTTTCATTGCATTGAGTACCTTTCTTGGAGCTTAATAAATGATGAGCTCTTAATATGGGTTTTTGAAATTGTAGTATTGATGGCATGATTGACCATCTTAGCTATCTTGAAATGAAGAAGTCTAAATGCCCACTTGTTGAATGGGTAAATTCCATAGTTTCCCCCCAATCCTTTGTGAGAGCTCAATAATTTATTTAAGTTAGTTACTTTTTGAAGCTAAAAAGTGATTCTAGAGAGGAGACTTCAATGCTTGATTGTCCTTTGAGAGTTAGTTTCTCTATCAACTACTTGATATTTGAATGTTCATGCATTGAAATTGAGATGGAGTACTCAAGTCTTGAATAAGCAGATTTCATTAAAGAAGGAACATGGTGTAGTAAGAGTAAGCGATGAACCTATCTAAGTAGGAAAAAAAGTTTCTTTAAGTGAAACTATTCAAGTTTTTTTACCTTTTCTTTTTTAGAATTTGATTGATAAAAATAAATTGATCAATTAGTTTGGAATTGGTAAGCTTCATTGACCCATTGAAGATTATGTGCCAAAGGTGGTGGATATGATAGCACATGCCTCTTCAAAATCTTAGTAAGGCTTCAGCCCTAAGAGATAAGGTCTTTATGAAATCATGGCTAGGTTTGAATTCCCTCTTATTGCAAGGACACCATGAACTTGCTTAGAGTATATTTTTAAAATTGCAATTTTGGTAAAACACTTTGTCAGTCGTATTATAAGGGGTGTCTAACTAATGTTAACACTTACATGGTTAGATCTATTTGCTCCGAGCAACTCAGTAAGTATGCTAGATTGGGCTATAGAGGCTAGTTTGGAGACGTCGGTGAAGATAAGCATTAATTATAGGTATCATATATAATAATAGAGGCGAGGCTTGGAGGAAGCAAAATAGTTTATAGCTTAGAGGAGACATAAGACAATGAGCTTGAAGGGGGTGACTTTAGAGGTTATGATGATTTCTTGATTCTTTTGGCAGGTCCTAGAAGAAATTAAGTCCCTAAGCTTTTTGACAATCTTGGATAAGAGCCATGTGAGACTAGAAAGGAGAGGATTCAATGCTCCACTTGAAAGATAGGACCATTAATCCACCTTGGAGACCTTAGGTTTAATAGGCTCCATGACATTCTAGAGCTCTGCTCACTAGTGGAGATTCTTAATCCTCCTTGGAAAGGATAGGTCATATTAGGTTTGTAAGACCTTATAAGAGGATTTAGCAATTTGTTTGGGAGTAAGGATGCCTTGATTTGCTAGGGAGCATAGGTTGGTTGATTTGTACTTAGAACTTTTGTTGAATTTAGCCCCTATTGTGAGTCTAAAAAGGAGGATTTGAAAGTTTACTGTAGAGAGAGTTAATCAAAATTTGAATTGAGTGAGATTTATTGAACTAAGGGCCTATTTAGGAATATCTTGTAAGCAATCAATGGTTATACATAAATCATATATGCGACCATGACTACATTCATAAAATTCTAGCATGGCATAAAAAGTCAAATCTTCCTTCAAAATCTTTCATCACTAAGTAGAGGTTCTTTAGCAAACTCTTGAGCAACAATGATCGTGGGTGTTGATGGGTCTGTTTTAGACATAGTTGATAATTCGATAAATGATGATCGTGCCTTTAAAACAATAGGACAGGAGAGGAGTAATCTAATATTGGCTGTGCAAAGGTTTTGTCCACAAAATTGGTGAAGAAAGTAGCAAGGTGGGCTGTTGTTTCCTCATTTAAATTAAACAAAAGGAGACTTGTCGCTTTTTAAGAAAAAGTATGTCTATTTCTTGTCTTGTAAGGAGCATTTCAAATCAAATGGTGTGTTACAAGGTGGAGTATAATGCATTCACTAATTTAGAGAATTTCATGCTATTTTTTCTTTTTTTGAGAGGTTTAGCTCAAGATTATTTATAATTTCTTAGGAGGAGTGATAGTTTTATTACTGTTAAATGAGGTAGATGCCCACCATTCAAATTTTTAAGAAGGGGCTTGTGATAGCAGGTGAGGCTAAGCTCCTATATAATAGTGGATATAGGGCTTGTAGATGGCATCATTGGTTGGCCTTAGAGGCAACGTCGATGCTAGGTTCAAAGGATGCTGGTAAGCAATGACAATTCCTTGATTGACTTAATAAACTTTATATTAAATTATGTCTCATACACTTTATTGTGCTAAGTTGAGAGCATCATGAAACTACAAGGGGGGAATTTAATAGTCCTCTTGGAATGAGGATTTAACCATTCCCTTGGTAATCTTCAATTGAATTAGGTTCATAACTTTTCAATATTATGTAAGAATAACATGGGAGAATTTAGTGGCCCGACTAAAAATGGGAATTCTTTTATCCGCCCAAGAAATCTTATGCCAAATTATGCTCCTTGGCTTTCTAGTGCTTTCATCGAACCAAATGATGAAGATTAGGGGTGCATAGTATGGACGGTGGTTACTACATCTACCTCATAAGATATTAAGCCAAATTAAGCCCTCTGATAATTTAGCGTTTTTAAGGTTAGAAGTGGAGGATTCAACGATCTGCTTGAGAGTAAGGGATTTTGGGTTATGAATTTAGTGAATGACTAAGCTGAATCTATTTTATATTCTTGTCCCAAAACATTTAAGAATGGCCTAAAAACAAGTGATTCTTTTTCATAAATCGTGGTTATGGTCATGCTCAATTCATATATAAAATCCATATGTGATGCAAGAAGATGAATTTTCCCTTAAAACTTTGATGCATCAACTTGAAACTCCCTTAATGGTGGAGGGTTGTATTCAATTCCTCTTTAGGCTCCATCGTTTGTAGGATTGATTCTAATTGGACGTTAGAAAATAGTGGTGGCGGACAAATGCAACACATATTATTAGCATTGCGAGCTTCATCCATCATATTATTTGGAAAATTTTAACAAGGACAATAAAATTATTATAAGAAAAGTTGTGATGTTTCATATTATATAAATTGTTCATAACCTTTGTTTGGATTTTATGTAAATATTATATTTTTATTATACTTGTAATGTTCTCACTAGACATTTGCAAGAGGATGTACCGTCGCGTATGCTTTTTGCTGATGATATTCTTCTTGTTGATAAGATTAGAGAGGGAGTTGAAAACAAACTTGATTTATGGAGGTCGACATTAGAGACTAAAGGTTTTCGCTTGAGTAGATCTAAAACGGAATATATGGAGTGTAATTTTAGTAGTAATAGACCTAGTGAGGGGATTGTGACTTTGGGCGATCAAGTCATTAATAAGAGTACACCTTTTAGATATCTTGGATCTATTGTTCAGAGTGATGGTGAAATAGATGGGGATATTATCAGCAGAATTCAAATTGGATGGTTGAAGTGGAGGGATGCATCGGGCTTATTGTGTGATAGAAAAGTACCCCTCAAACTTAAGGGAAAATTCTATAAGATGGTATTGAGGCCTGCAATGCTTTATGGTGCTGAATGTTGGCCATTAAAAG